AGAGATGAGGTCTCGCTGTTCAGGCGGGTCTCGAACCCGCGGGCTCAGGCAATCCACTCATCTCAGCCTCCCAAAGGCGCGGGATAACAGGCGGAGCCACCGAGCCCGGCATACGCTTCTTAATAACACATTTGATTCTATCCCAGTAAATGGCTGAACAGAACACCACTTTACTTATCATAATTTAGTCCCTCAATCTATAAAAGGAGACAGTAACTTCTAAATGTCTCTCTCAACTTTAAAATTTCACACTTTTTAAAATTTTATTTTATTATAAAGATGTGGGGTACAATTCAGGGTTAGGTATACAAATGTTGATTATGCAGGTACTCTTGAAGAGGCACACAGTTTTTAAAAATGTTACATATAAGAATTGAGTTTATTATTTCAGAAACTCAGCATCTGAAAGATCTCTATTTTCATGTAAATCAACATAAAAGTAATCAAATTACAGATTTTGAAAATCTATGAAAGATTATTACTGAAATTAAACATGTAGAATATTAACACTGACTAACATTCTTTCTTTTTTTTTTTTTTTGCGTTAGAGTTTCACTACGTCACCCAGGCTGGAATGTAGTGGCATGCTCACAGCCACCCAGTGTTGACCTGCTGGGCTCCAGAGGTCCTTCCACCTCAGCTTTCCAAGTAGCTGGAACCACAGGCGCGTGCTACCACGCCCCGCTAACCTTTTATTTATTGCAGAGATGCGGTCTCGCCAAGTTGCCCGGGCTGGTCTTGAACCCAAAGGCTCAGGCGATCTATTGCCTCGGACTCCCAAAGTGCTGGGATTACAGGCTAGGCCACCGAGCCTGGCCGACTAACATTCTTTAAGTAATAATTCCATTATGGGTAATGCTCATAAAAGCATTGTTTAACTTACGTCTTTCATAAAGAACATAGGGAATCTGATTCCACTGCAATATCTAAACTGCATAAATCTTTAAGAATTACAAGACACACTGTATCAGAAGCGGTACCAAGTGACTTAGTGCACTATATGCCAGAACATTCCAGATGGAGATGGAACTGCAGGAGACACAGAGAACAGGCCACAGCACTCTCTATGCGAGGACGCGCGTGCCCGTGTGCTAGGTCGTGTGGCAGGATACAGGTTCCCACGTGCTGGGGGATGTGCCGGGACACGGGTTACCACGTGAAGGGTCGGGCGCCGGGACATGCATTCCCACCAAACACGGGTTCGCACGTGCTGGCCACGTGCCGGAGCACGAATCCCATGCTTCGGAAGGGGCGGCAGGAGCACAGCGAGAGGGACGCAGTGGGGCACGATTCCAGCCAGAGTGACAGCGCTTCTGCTCTCATCCTCGCCTGTCCACCCGCGGAATCACGAGTCTGACGCGCAGGGGGCCGCGCTGAGGCCCCGGAACAGCAGGCCCAGGACGCTCCGCTGCCCTGCAGGAGCGCGGGTGCAAGGGACAGACAGCTCCGCCGCACAGCGGAGGCGCGCGTCCCCGCCTTGGCACCAGGACCAAGGGAGGCCCCGCCCCGACGGCCCGCCCGCCCCAACCCCCGGGCTCCGCGTGGGGTCCGGGCTGTGGCTGCAACTGGCTCGCGCCGTCCCACCTGAAGTTGGACCAGACGAAGTTCAGGGCGAGCTGGAAGTTGGGGTCCGCCTTGTCCTGGAGCCCCGTGACTCGTCGGACGAGCTCGCGCACGTCGCGCTCCTGCTGTGTATCGGCCCGGCTCCAGGACGGCCCCGGCCGGGCCATACCTCCGCAACCCCGCCACACCTGCGCCAGCGGACGACCAATCTCGCGACAGTTTGTGTTCCAGCGGCGCGAGGCTCCGCGGAACCAGCTGTCGTTCTCGCGAGAATTCATACGTCACGATTCCGCGCCACCGCGAGGTGGCGGTTGTTCTCGCGAGAGTTTGTGCGGCGTCGCTGTTGGAGCTGAACGCTGTTCGTAGACTGCGTGCGGCCCGCATGTGTGTCTGGTTGCCGACATTCCCTGGGACAGACCCCAAAGAGGCAGTCGACTTAGAGCTCGTCAGGTTACTAGCGCGCTCAGGTTGGCCTGGAGGGCGCGTAAGTGCTGATGGTTCTGAGCAGCCGCACAGACCTCCAGAAAAGCCCTTCTCGTCTACACCCGCCCACAGCAACAAGCGAAGGCGGGTCATCCAGTGCCTCCTTCGTCTGCACCCTCCAGCTCACAACAGCTGGCCATTGAGGCAGGCATAGTTGGCATAGCTCATAGATTAGAGGTAGTTAGGCAAGTCTAATCTAGGTAACCAAGAAACAGGGCCGTTAAGCACTCCGTGTTTCTCATATTGTAAGAAGACCTTCACCCCACTAACCAGGCGTCTCGGACCTGACAGTCTTGCAGGTTGGACTGGGGAACTATCAGTGCAGCAAATCACAGAAACAATAGGGAATCACTCAGAACACACGTGATGTTCTAAGAAAAGCCCAAATCTAGTAACTTCCACCATTTAGAAGGTCCTCGTGACCTTAAAGGTTGAGAGATGGTCTTCAAAACTTGTGGCCAGATACCGACAGTCCTACCTCTTAGCTCTTGGTTTGCTTAATCATTGTTTTAAAAGTATATAAAGCTTCTTGTCAAAGACAAGCACCCGCCTTCTCGTAAGCACCCACACTTTTTCTTGAGCGTGTTTTTTTTTTTTTTTTTTGGTTATAATTCTGGCTGGGCCCAGTGTCTTATGCCTGTAATCCCAGCACTTTGGCAGGCCAAGGCGGGAAGACTTCCTGAACCCAGGGGTTCAAGTCCAGCCTGGGCAACTTGGCGAGACCGCTTCACTACAACAAATAAAAAAATTAGCCAAGCATGGTGGTGCACACCTGTAGTTCTGGTTACTTGGAAGGCTGAGGTGGAAAGATCACCTTGGCAGGTCGAGGCTGTGGTGGCAGTGATTGTGCCACTGCACTCCAGCCTGGGCAATAAAGTGAGATGCTGACTCAAAATAAGTAAATAAATTCTATCTTAACTATATTTTGGAAATTTCTCTTGGTGGCAAAATCAGAGACACATGGAACAACTATACCATACTTGCCTGATATCACCATGGTGAGGTATCCGTGCCCTCCTTGTCTACACCACTGAGTCACAACAGCAGGCGAGGGTGTGGCACCCAAGCCCTCCATCTACACTTCCTCACAACAGCAGGCAATAGTGAGGCGCCTGTGCCCTCTTTGTCTATACACCATGACTCACAGCAGGTCATGGTGAGTCACCTGTGCCCTTCTTGTCTACACCCACCCACTCACAGTAGATAATGTTGAGGTGCCCGTGCCCTCTACTCACAGCAGCAGACTGGGGGGTCACCTGTAGCCTCCTCATCTATACCTGCCTGCTCACAGCAGTTGGCGATGGTGAGGTGCCCATGCCTTCCTTGTCTACACCCACCCACTCACAGCAGCAGGTGATGGTGAGGGGCCTGTGCTTTCCGTTCACTCTTCCTCACAACAGTGGGTGATGGTGAGGCACCCATGCCCTCCTTATCTATACCTGCTGTACTCACAATAGTAGGCCATAGTTAGGCACCGGTGCCCTCCTCAGCTATATCTGCCATACTCAACAGCAGGCAATGGTGAGGCATCCGTGCTCTCTGTTCACACACACCCACTCAGAACAACAGGTGATGTTGAGGTGTCTGTACCCTCCTCATCCACACCTGCCATGTTCACAACAGCAGGCATTGGTGAAGTGCTCGTGCCCTTCATCCACACCCACCTACTGATAACAGCAGGGTTTGGTGAGGTGCCCATGTTCCCTCTCCACACCCTTCTCACAGCAACAGGACAGATGTTGTTTGTTTTTTTGTTTGTTAGATTAGGATTAAATAATCTGATCTATTTAGAAAGTAGATCAGAGAAAAAGAGTGGATTCACCAATCCAGATTGAAGAGGGGACCAGAACAGATGTCGGTGAGGCATCTGTGCTCTCGGTTCACATCTGCCACACTCACAACAGCAGGCAATGCGAGGTACTCATGTTCTATGCAACCAGGAGAAGCGATGGCAAGGAGAACAGGATCTCCACAACAGCAAGAATACTGGGGCAGAAAAAGCAAGGAGTCTAAGAGTAGGGGCTACAATTAAACCAGGAGCCGGGCCAAAAGCTCCTTAAACGTCTGGTCCCCTATTCAATCTGTAGAGGTGGATCCACTCTTTTTTCTCTGATCTACTTTCTAAATAAAATATTCTTCCTAATCTAAAAACAAACAAAAAACAGGAGCTGGGTAGGTAAGGTGGCCAGGAGCCATGACAGCAAGGGGACTGGGAGGGGACAGATGAGGCGGCTAGGAGTAGGAAAAGCAAAAATACCAGAAGCAGTGACAGCAGAGAGACCAAGAATGGTGGTAACGAAAAGTATGACTCTCGCTCTCACTCTTTCCCTGTGTAACATGAACACATTTTGAGAAGAAGATAGTCCTGGAGGAAAATATAGCCAGGCTTGGGTCATGGTGCTTTGGATGCTAAGAGTAACTGTTGTTGCCCAGGCCAGTGACCTTTTGTGTAGAAGGCTGCATACACTGGTGAAAGCCATCTCTGTGAGAGCCCATTTGTATTTTCCAGTCCCCACTGGGTTGGCTTAAGGAACTTCTGAAATTGAAAGCCTTGAATGCCAGGTTGTAAAGACTTTTTCAAGGTAGAAGAATGAGAAATGGTATGGAGTTTGTCATACTTGAGGGACCTTAAAAGAAAGAGGTCCAGTGAGGAGACTAGGTCAAATGTCATTTCCTTGTTACAACTTTCCAGCACAGGTGGAGGCAATGAGTCTATTGGCTTAATGGAGCCTAGTTGTAGGCTTAGGGCCAGCCCAACAGGACTGAGGTTTAATGCTCAGATCCCCCCTCAGCCAGAAGAGAAAGCAAAACTCTGAGGGACTCAGCTAGGTGTATGTCCTTTTTTTGTTGCAGTATGGCAGCTTGCTGGCTAGGCTTTGCATCTCAAGGCTAAGGCAAGAAGCATAGGGTCACAGAAGAAGACCTACATCTGTTATTTCTAAAGACTGAGGAAAATGGAAAGCTCAAAGAACTTGAATGGATTTGGAGTCGATCATACTCAGTGATCTATCACAGAAGCAAAGAACAGAGTACCGTATGTTCACACTCATAAGTGGACCTTGAACAATTATAATATTATAAGAAAGCATTTGGCAGTAGTGGGAAACTGTCAGGGGAGGGGTGGCAGGATTGGCAGTTGAGGGAAACTGCTAGGGGAGGGAGGGGCATACCTCATCAACAAGGGTACCTGCATAATCAGTGTTTGTTTACCTAACCCTGAATTGTACCCCACATCTTTATAATAATAAATTTTAAAAAATTTTTTCATGCTTTTAAACTTCTCTGATATAGCAACACAGTCAAGGCTGTATTCTGGAATGAATGACACTGACAAGGCCTTGGAAAAGACATTACTTGAATTCATACATATCCGTAATCATGAACATAAATAGATATACCTTCATATTTTTTATATGTAGCATATGAATATTGAGAGTGTTTTTTGAGAGGAAGATGGTGCTGGGGGAAGAAATACCCAGGCCTGGATCAGTATGCTTTGAGGTCTAACCGGCTATTGCTGCTCAGGCCAGTGACTGTGTGGAAGGCTACACAAACCTTTGTGAGCCAGTTATGTTTGGTTCAGCTGGATTTGCAGAACCCTATAGTGTTGGCTTAAGGAACCCCTCAATGTAAAACCCTTGAATACCAGGCCATGAAGACTCTTTCACAGATAGAAGTAGCAGGAGAAATGGTGTGGGGTTTGACATACCTGAGAGGATTCCAAAAGAAAGGCCAGTGAGAAAACTAGGTCAGAGGTCATTTCTACTTTTTACCATGCCAGAGCAGGTGGAAGCAATGAGTCTATCAGCTTCCTGTGTCTGGTCAGAATCTCTCCACCAGAGTGGCAGTTTAATGCTCAAGCCTCCCTCAGCAAGAAGAAAAAAACAGAGCCCGCAGGCTCTCAGTTGGGCGTGTGGCCTTTCGTGCCCTGGTGTGGCAGCTCACTGGTTCTGCTTTGCATCTCAAGGCTAAGCCCAGAAGCATAGGGTCATAGAAGAAGGCTAGTTTCCATCATTTCTGAAGGTTGAGGAAAGTACAAAACCCACAGAATACAGTTGAAGTATCATGTAACATTCCTTGCTCTCAAGGCTCTTGCATCTGTTGTGTTCTTAAGGGCCAGGCAACTTTCGCCACTTTCTTTTAGATGAGTAGCTCAAAGTTTCTGAAATGTTGCGAGTATAATTGTTCTCTCCACCCTATGCTGAATCTCCCCACTAAACAAGGGTAAATGAGTGTCTCTAAACTATCATGCTTTTAAACTTTTCTCTGAAATAACAAGACTGGCCAGGCTTCTTTCTGAAGCAAATGACTCACAGGGCCTAGGAAAAAGACCTTACTTGAAATGAATACACACATACACATAATTATACAGAGTTATGATTACATTTAGAATAGCTGAGGGACCCCAAACAGCCGGGAATTATCTTTTGGCAGGTGGGGCCCCTTGTAGTACACTTGGAATTTGTTCCTCCACATCAAACGGTCAAACCAATTTTTTTATCTAGAAGTTTTGAGGAGGTTGCATCACAATTTGCAGAAGTAACATCTTGAGTTTGTGGCAAACAGGTGACTGGGTCTTCCACCATAACAAGGCACCTGCCCACATCATGCTGAGTATCTGCAGTTTTTGACCAAAACCGGCATGACCCCTAATGCCCCACCCTCCCTTTTTACCCAGTCTCGCCCT